TGACTTGTTTCTTTTCCCTGACAGCTTTTAAGATTCTATTCTTGTGCTGAACTTCTGGAATCTTGATTATGATATGCTTGGCTGTAGATTTTTTTATCATGACAAATTGGAGTTCTATATGCCTCACTTACTGTATGTCAAATTCTTTGTCCCTACTGGGGAAGTTTTCTTTTATATCATTTGTGCTATTGCCTGCTTTTCCATTAACTCCAATTAATCTTAAGTTGTTTTTCTTTGTCTGATCTTGCAGCTGCTGGATTGATTTCTCATGGTCCCTTGCTAGTTTTATGAAATCTTTCTTCTCATTATTGCTAACCTCAAACTTGTCTTCTGTATCTGAGATCCTGTCCTCACATTGGCTTAATCTGCTGTGGATACTTTCAGTGGAGTTTTTGTTTTCCTGGAAATCTGCTTAAATTGACCATATGGATTCTATTTCTTTCCTATGCTGAACATTCAGGGTTTCCATAATTTTCTTAAATTCCTCTATTTTTTGTCTGTTTCTGCTCTAGAGTCACTAAACACAGTTTGCATTGTGGACACCATCTCTGCAGTTATTTGAGAAATTATTTCTGATTTGATTTTTTTTAGAGCCTCATTCAGTTGCTTTCTTATTACCACTTCAAGAAGGCCAAATGAGGGGCTGGGGATTTAGCTCAGCGGCAAAAGCGCCTGCCTGGCAAGCGCAAGGTCGTGAGTTCAGTTCCCGGTACTGGAGAAAAATCAAAAAAAAAAAAAAGAAGGCCAAATGAATGGCTTTTGGATTGTTCCACCTCATTTCCCCCTGGGTTTGCCTTTGATGAACTGGATGTGTGGTGCTGCATTTTGTTTAAGTATCTTGTTTTCTTTTCTTTTTTTAGTTTATTTCTTGGATGATGCTTGTAAATTGCCCGTGGTGGACTGCTTTATTGCTAGTATTTAGAACCCTTAGGAAATGACTACTTCTTCAAGGTATCCTCCAGGTGTAACTGCTTTTTAGGTTTTGAGTCTGTTGTAAGATCCTATGCCTTAAATTTGTTCGGAATGAGAAGTTGCTGCCTGTTTGGCTTAGCCCTTGGTTCTTTGGCACTGTGCCACAGTATTTTTTGTGACCCTTAGTCAATCTCAGTCTTGGAATACCAGTACAAACAGCTGTTTAGAACAGTTGTGTCACTTTTGGCTATACTGGTACCATCAGCAATGACAGTAGAATCAAACAGCTTAGAAAATGACAAACTGAGCTAACCATTAATTTGCCACCTTTAACCATATGAGCTATATTTGTAGTTATATAACAAAATCTAAAACAGACCAGAAAATTATATGCAGTATTCAGTCCTTAATATGTCAGTTTTACCCTCAGGGGTTAAAATTTAAAAGGGATTAGGGAAAAAACAGAGATAGAAGAAGAGGAAGAGATCGGTAGTAAGGCTGGAGGACAAAGGGGGTTCATGCTAACTTTGGGAAACTGATACAGAATACTGGAGGGAAATAGAGAAGGAAGAAATAAAAAGAAGAACAGAAAAGAATAACAAAGAGGCTAGAAACCACATTTACACTCAGGTAAAAACAAGATCAAGCAATGAAGAGGAGAAAACAAAAACAAAACCACCACCACAATAACAAAAAAATAAACAAAGGAAAAAAAAAGTCCACTTCCACATTTGTCTCTGCTGTTACTGGTAGACAACATGTGGAGAAAAAGTCCTGATCCATGTTGATTTATCCCAGCAAGCCAGCAGTAGCTTTTTGGTGGGGTAGTGGATAATCCCAGAGAGCCTGCACCTTCTGGGCAAGACCAACTCATTTGGCCTGCAGCTGTCAGCATACTTGCCATGGAGCACACAGTATTCTGACCCCAGCTGGGAGCCACTAGATGGAGCCAGCAGCTGCTCTGAGCTCTGAGCTCAGCTGGTCCCTCTTTAAGATGACTCTTGTGCAATTGCTCTCTCTTGTGGTATAACTGAGCTCTCAACACCCACCACCACCCAGTACAGTCCTTCATATCCATCCACTGCACTATGTCTCTCCATGGAGGCCTCTAGGGTTGCCAGCAGTCACTATATGTCCTCAGGTTTGAATCATTCCTCTCATGCAGTGAGTCCCATCACAGGGAGAAGGCACCACTGACTAACTTTCCTGTTCACTGAAATTTCTCCTTTCACTCTTTCTGTGGGCTTCAATTCATGCCTCAGATCCTTCCTGGGTCCAGGGGACTCACTTCCCTTCCTCACATTGCTATCTTCCAGCATCTGGAGGGCAACTCTCAGCAAAGCTCTTTCTCTGCTGCTTAGCACTCCACCACCTTCGTGCCTTCTCCTTATCTTCTAATTGGGATTGTTCATGGGTTTATCTTTGTTTACATCTCCTGGGTTTTGACTTCTTGTTCAGCATGGTTCTCCGCTTTGTCATCTCCAGTTACCTTAATTCCTCCTCTTAGGTGTTGATTCTTTTGCCTCTTTTGTTTTGAACTCCATGTCTTCCCTCACCTTGGGAGGTTTCATTTGGCATCTCTGCCAGCCTCATTTCAAGAAACAGAACAAACCCTGGCTCAGTGTTCTCATGTGCTGCCATGGCTTATTGACTATTTTCCTGTAGACTAATTTCCCAAGATTTTTTTGGGCAGGAACAGCATCATTCCTCACTGCTCTAGTGTCCAGAACAATGTTTTGTGCATAGTAAAACTAAACTGTTAATGTTACCTTTTGCCTAAGAGCTTTATGTTTGGCAGAAATGGCTAAATAATGCACATGTATCTGAATAACACACGCTATATATGTCCTCTTATGTAGAGCATTGATTTACATTGGACACTGATTCATTCATAGTTTAATTTAGTGCTCATTGGCAGGCTGTTTTCTAAACCACAGCAGAGATAGTTACCCAAGTTTGGAAGTTTTTTTTTTTTTTTGTCTTTTTGAGATGGGGTTTCACTATGTGGTTCAGGCTGGCCTTGAACTTACTTTGTAGCCCAGGCTGGCCTTGAACTCAAAGTAATCCTCCTGCCTCAGCCTCCCAAGTGCTGGGATTAGAGGCATGTAACACTGTGTCTAGCTGGAAGATTTCTTAAAAATTTTTTTCCTCTCTTGTTCCCATACTGGTTTAATAATAAAATTTTTGATGCTTAAAAAGTCTTCTATTTTTCCTATAAAATCCAATATACTTTAAAATTGAGGAAAATAGGTATTAAGAAACTATGTGTTATTATTTTAAAATGAGAATTTTAGAGTAATGCAGATGGGTCCTTGACGATTATTTTTTATAACTGGGAAATTCTCATTAAAATTTTTTTAATGGGGAGTCTCCCCCTCTGTTGTCGGTGTCACCCTGAGACAGCATTCCTTAAGACTAGCATGTTGTGAATGGATTCTGTTTTAGGCCATTTCATCTGGAGTGGAGAAACACACAGCCGTGACAGAAACGCTGCTGACGGCTTGGTCTTGTTTTCTAGGTGGTCGGCAACACCACATCTGGCAGCTATAGCTACAGCATCCAGAAGAGCCTGGCCTTTGCTTATGTTCCTGTAGCACTAAGTGAAGTGGGGCAGCAAGTGGAAGTTGAACTACTGGGTAAAAATTACCCTGCCACCATCATACAAGAACCCTTGGTACTGACAGAACCAGCTAGAAACCGACTCAAGAAAAAAGACAGAAAGGACAAAACTTGAGAAAGCTCTCATGAATCAGCCAAATTCTAGTTACTATATGACTGTTCTTGAAATTATTATAATTGGTTCTCAAGGGGAATAGAGGATCTCAAGAATTCATTTAAAAATCATCGAGAATCTAGACTTAGACACTTAATAAAACCTTTCTCCTAATTGTTTTCTATGCAAAATAGGATAATAATTGAGTGATTTACATCATTCTTTCAATTGAAGAAACCTGAAGTGAATTTTTTTAAATTTCATCTTGTTGTTTATGAGATCCAATCAGCAAAATGGTAAGTGTTTGCTAATATGCAGTCATTATTATAACAATTTAAAAACTTTATATAATTTTAGAAACATAGCATATATTTCATAACTAAAAACCAATTAATAAATTTTCTTTTACATAAAAACAAACACAATACTACTGTTGGATTTGTTTCATTGAGAAATCTTTCCCTAGGTGAATAAGTAATAATTTTAATTTTTTATAATGTATCTATGATAAAATAATAAAGCCTTATGTCAATTTTCACTAACATTTTTATTCAGTTGTCTGAAATGTTTCTTATTTTCTTAATGATTTCCCAAAGAGCAGCTTTATAGGACATTATGATTGTCCTTTCAAAGGTTGTTTTAGAAGTGATATTGCCAAAAAGAACAAAGTCTTCTACTTGTAAACCTTCAGAAATGCAGCTGAAGACTAAATAGATTGTGCCAGGGCAAACACAGCCTGAATGCTGAGCACCTCTCCCTGGGAAAGAAGTAATGCACGCTGACATCACTCAGTGTCATCTGAACGCCTTCTCACAAACGTGAGCATCCGAGCTGGCAGGACTGCCCTTAGCACTGTGTACAACAAAGGAAGAAAATTCAGAAGTAGTTCTTTGATATACTTCTTGGAATTATTTGAGTTCAGTTAAATGAATAAATAATAAGGAGTTTTTGTAAATGGTGCTTTATAATTTATAATTAATTTATACATGTACAGTTTTATTCCACATTTACTGAACTTCTCCTAGGTATTTAAGAAACTGCAAAGCATAACATCCTGTATTTAAAATAAACTCTTAAATGATTTTTAAACTTGTTTTAAAATGATGCCAAATTAACATTTAAAATGTTTCATAACAATAATTCCATAGAACTCCTCAACCTGCCATTTTTTGATTTTAGTATGTCCTCTTACGTAAGAAAAGGAGGAAATACCCTCAGTCACAAACATTTCCTAGTATCAGGATTCTACCTATTTTTCCTAGATGCTGATCAAAGTCTCTGGCTGGGAACTGAGAGGCCTGCCTTTTATTCTCTGCCTCTCAGTAGCCCTGCAACCTCAGGAGAATCACTTAACATCTCTGGGTTCTATCTCTGTAAAACAGGTTTAGAAAGTACAACACTGGATTTGTGTTATACCACTAAAATGGCACTGAAACCAGTTAGTAAAAGGATGGGACATTCAGATGAGTGTTAAACTTATAAAGAAATTCTATCCACAATAAAAGTCTACCTCCTGACTTTCTTAAGAAGTTGTCCCAGTTCCTTCCCTCTTTTGTTGTACACTGGGTGCTGACCTACTGTCTTCTAGGTCACCCCCACTCCACCTGGCCATGGTCCTGAGATTAGCAACCAATCCATCTCTGTTGAACTACCTGCAATACAACTTGGCTATGGAAAGATGAGACAACCTAACCAGGTTTTGCCCATGGGAATGTGAACTGTTACTGTTATGGCTTATATCTAGATATCCCCCCCAAAGCCTCATGTGGTCATAGGTGAGGTTTTTTGAAGGTGGCTGGATTAAGGGTGTGATGCTGGGATTCAGGATGCCCCATCCTATGTGTAGGTGGCACTGTTCAAAGATCTGGTAGCCTGGATAAAATATAAAGGCAGGCTTGGTTGCTGCTGATGCCTCTTCACTGCTTTGCTGCCTTCTGCCTGCCATGAACTGTTTCCCCTCTGTGATGCCCCTCTACCATGCCACTCTGGCTTGGAGCCAGCTGACTATGAACTGAAACCTCTATAAATTGTAAGCCAAAATAAATCCCTCCTCATTTAACTTTGGATCTTGGATATTTTGCCTCAACAATGAGAAAAGTAACAAAGACAGTGACTCTCCAGAGAACAAACTGATTATTACTAAAAACTAAGGGTAAAGGTGAAGCTAAAGAGAAAGAAGTCAAGCCTATAAGTGATGGTAGCTCCCCCAAAGTAGGGAGGCCCCCAGAGAGAGAAAGAGAGAGAGTATGATCATTAACTGTGCTATGTCAACTTGATTTGAAAAAGAACTGCCTGGCAGATTAGTAAGTTCTAGGTGTATCGGTGGGTGATTGATACACAGGCCAGCAAACAGGGTAAAACTCACCCCTGATGTGAGTGACACCAACAAATAAGATTGTAGCTTGGATAGAATAAAAAAAGAAAGAAGGAAAAAGTGTTTCCTTTCTTCAGAGGAGCTCTGGTTCTTCACCATTGCCTTTGGATGGTGGGTTCTGTTTCCTTCAGGCTTCCAGGGTAGACTCTTCATCCTTGCAACACAGATTCTTCCTCTAACACAGATCACACCAACGACTGTGCAGGGAGCTTTCAGGCCTCCAAGCTTCAGCTGCTATTGGATCCTCAGACTCTAGCACAGAGCCATTTTGGATTCTTCCATCTCTGATCTGTAATGCAGCCATTGGAACTCTGACTAAGCCTACTAATACATCCCTGTGTAATCATACGTATATTTTCTATGGATTGGTTCAAGAGAACCCTGACACACAAAGACAGTCCCCCAAGCTCTCAGCTCCTGATAGTATAGTAACCAGTTCTTTGGTGAGAACTTTGACTCAAAGATCCCAACTGAAACCAGTGGCTTCTGAAAAATGGACCATCCAAGGAGAGAGGTCTCCAAGGAATGGGCCTAGATTAATATCAACCATGAACAGCAAACAACCAGCTGTCTTGAAAGTACTTCAGTGAGGTGCAGAAGCCACATTTATAGCTCAGGAGCTTCCTCAAAATGGTGATGATGAATAGTTGTACTTCCCCCCTTTAGTGAAGAAAGCTTTTGGGAACTGCAAAGGCAAGTCCCACTCAGAACACTGTCAAAGCATTTCTGGATGTTGTGAGGTTGCTCATGTTCACATCCTTATGATCTGCATCTTTCTCCTTTTCTACTGATATGGAAAGGTATAGAAAAAAACATTTTAAAGTATGCTGTGTGGGACATTAAATAGCGGACAGACTAGATTCTGGGGTTTTACTGAGATGATTTTGTGTATATTTCTATAGAACAAAAGAAAAGATTGAGGTTATTAAGAAATTCAGCAGCTAGGAAGGGGAGAAAGTTTTAGATACAGAAACAGCATCTTTAGCCAAAGTCCCCAAAGGCAGAACACCAAAAATCAAGTCAATTATACACTTTGGATGAATCTGCATATACATTGTATAAATTATCATCTCATCTCTATCTTCCTGCCAGTAGCGAATCTTTAAAATAGTTCAGTTTACTGAAAGCAGCATTGTGAAGGACAAAAGGGTGACAGATCACTTAACAGCACTTTCTCTAGGCACAGACTGTGGGGTGTTAGGCCATGTGGCATGAGAGGAGTGATTCAAAGGCTACGTACCCCGAGCCACAACTCCTGCTCTTCCCAGCTCTGCCACCTCCTGAACAGAGTCATCACATCCGCACAGCCTCTCATGTGCTTACAGTGCTGCCAGTCACTGCGCTTCTTAGGGAAGGGTCCCCCACTCAATGTGCCCTATGGAGGACTTATTCCAGGCCAGGTGCTGGGTGGTGAACAAGGAAGAGAGGGTCCCTGCCTTTATGGAGCTCACAGAAGAGGCGGGTCAAGGCAACGTGCTCAACGAAGAGAAAAACAGGCAAATTTAGTTATAAACAACGGTGTCTTGAACACCAGAGGGAGAGAACATTTTGAGAATGAAGAGATGGCAGACAGTCAGAAGACAGAAAAATCAGGATTAAAGGGTAAAGAGTGCCCTATGGACTAGGCAAAGTGATCCTGTGTGCCATTGGTGTGGATAATGTCAGGTGATTGTGAGGACAAAAACCAGGCTGCACTGGTAACTGCATAGAAGGTAGCAAGTTAGACTGAGGGAACATATAATTTTACTGTTGAAGAGCAGCCAGCTGCCTCATAAATTATAAATGGAATTGGCTAGGAAGCATTCAGCTGGATGTCAAAAGATAGCCTATCAGTAGTTTAAGCAGTTATTTATTTTATTAAATCACATGACAAGAGGTCTGCAGGTAGGCTCAATGTCATCATTAATATATCAGGGCTCTCTTTCTACTTTGTTAATCCTCTCTAGTTTTACTCATATATCTGTATCTATATCTATCTATCTGTCTATCTATAATGGTATATAATTCATATCAGAAAATAAAGACATGTCAAATAAGATTAAAGGCTGAAAATGTCCCTTGGGTTAAGCAGAGTGGTTATTGGTGCCATGGGCCTGGACAATTTCAGGACAAAAGTCAGGCTGTATTTAATCATCTATATTAGTATATGATTAATTTTATATGACATAATATATAATTTAATAAGATTAAATCAGCTTCCAATTAGCACCTTTTATTATATGCCTTAAAAGACACTGTGTCCTACATAGAAGTGGATTTGGCAAGCCCCTGATGACACAGGTGCCCTGCACGCATAGACTCAGTACAGGTGTTCAGTCTGAGAGTAAATTTTTAACTCCTGGAATCATTTGAGCCCACTTAAGGCAGTTTTTCTGCTTAATCCCTGTGGATCCTTGTACCTGTCCTACATTTAAATGATGGCTTGGAAATAACTGACAGCAGAGGATTATAAATCTGAAGAAGCAAAAGTTGAGTTCCTTCAATTCTGTCATTCAGTGTGACCAGAATTTCTGTTTATGTTTATCATAAGAATTATAAAACAGAATGCAGGCTGGGTGTGGTGGCGCATGCCTGTAATCCCAGCACTCAGGAGGCTGAGGCAGGAGGATCATTGTGAGTTTGAGACCAACCTGGGTTACAAAGTGAGCTCACAGCCAGCCTGAACTGCACAGCAAGACCCTGTCTCAAAAAGACAAAAACAAAAAAACAAAAAAAACCAAAAAAACAAAGAAAACCCAGAAGGCAAATGGTGAGTTCTAGCAGTCTATTCAGCACCTGACCAAGGACAACATGGGAAGCTGGGGCAGGCAGGGGCCTTCTTCTCTCTGCCACCCCACATGACTAACTGGCAGGCTTCTGGCTAGTTCCAAAGAGGGGGCTTATTATTGTTTAGAATGTCCCCCTACAGTGTCCGGAGGCTGGGTTTGGGAAGGTGGCTGGATCTGGGGTGCTGGATGATTGTGGTGTCAGGAGGAAGCCTGGTTATAAGAGGCAGTCACATGGGCAGGACACCCCTGGAAAGTGTAGCTCCAATCCAGCTGCTCCCTTAGCTCCCAGCTTCTGGGTGACGGGGTCAAGCACCTTTCCCTAACATGTCCCTCTGCCACCCTGTTTCTGGCTTGGAGCCTGCTGACCACAGATTGAAACCCTGAGAGAAAATAAATCTCTCCTCTTGT